CAGGTGATAATGGCAGATGGTAGTGGCAGATGGTGGTGGCAGGTGATAGTGGCAGATAGCAATGGCAGAGGGTGATGGCAGGTGATAGTGGCAGATTGTGTGGCACGTGATAGTTGCAGATGGTGGTGGTGGCACGTAACAGTGGCAGATGGTAGTGGCAGGTGACAGTGGCAGATGGTAGTGGCAAGTGATAGTGGCAGATGGTGGTGGCAGGTGACAGTGACAGATGGTGGTGGCAGGTGATAGTGGCAGATGGTGGTGGCAGGTGATAATGGCAGATAGTAGTGACAGGTGATAGTTGTAGATGGTGGTGGCAGATGATAGTGGCAGATAGTAGTGACAGGTGATAGTGGCAGATGGTGGTGGCAGGTGATAGTGGCAGATGGTAGTGGCAGGTGATAGTAGCAGATGGTGGCAGCAGGTGATAGTGGCAGATGGTGGTGGCAGGTGATTGTGGCAGATGGCGGTGGCAGGTGATAGTGGCAGATAGTAGTGACAGGTGATAGTGGTAGATGGTGGTGGCAGGTGATAGTGGCAGATGGTGGTGGCAGGTGATAGTGGCAGATGGTAGTGACAGGTGATAGTGGCAGATAGTAGTGACAGGCGATATTGGCAGATGGTGGTGGCAGGTGATAGTGGCAGATGGTGGTGGCAGGTGATAGTGGCAGATGGTAGTGGCAGATGGTGGTGGCAGGTGATAGTGGCAGATGGTAGTGGCAGGTGATAGTGGCAGATGGTGGTGGCAGGTGATAGTGGCAGATGGTGGTGGCAGGTGATAGTGGCAGATGGTAGTGGCAGATGGTGGTGGCAGGTGATAGTGGCAGATGGTGGTGGCAGGTGATAGTGGCAGGTGATAGTGGCAGATGGTGGTGGCAGGTGTTAGTGGCAGATGGTGGTGGCAGGTGATAATGGCAGATGGTGGTGGCAGGTGATAGTAGCAGATGGTGGTGACAGGTGATAGTGGCAGATGGTGGTGGCAGGTGATAATGGCAGATGGTGGTGGCAGGTGATAGTAGCAGATGGTGGTGACAGGTGATAGTGGCAGATGGTGGTGGCAGGTGATAGTGGCAGATGGTGGTGGCAGGTGATAGTGGCAGATGGTGGTGGCAGGTTATAGTGGCAGATGGTGGTGGCAGGTGATAGTAGCAGATGGTGGTGGCAGGTGATAGTAGCAGATGGTGGTGGCAGGTGATAGTGGCAGATGGTGGTGGCAGGTGATAATAGCAGATAGTAGTGACAGGTGATAGTGGCAGATAGTGGTGGCAGGTGATAGTGGCAGATGGTGGTGGCAGGTTATAGTGGCAGATGGTGGTGGCAGGTGATAGTAGCAGATGGTGGTGGCAGGTGATAGTAGCAGATGGTGGTGGCAGGTGATAGTGGCAGATGGTGGTGGCAGGTGATAATAGCAGATAGTAGTGACAGGTGATAGTGGCAGATGGTGGTGGCAGGTGATAGTGGCAGATGGTGGTGGCAGGTTATAGTGGCAGATGGTGGTGGCAGGTGATAGTAGCAGATGGTGGTGGCAGGTGATAGTAGCAGATGGTGGTGGCAGGTGATAGTGGCAGATGGTGGTGGCAGGTGATAGTGGCAGATGGTGGTGGCAGGTTATAGTGGCAGATGGTGGTGACAGGTGATAGTAGCAGATGGTGGTAGCAGGTGATAGTGGCAGATAGTGGTGGCAGGTGATAGTGGCAGATGGTGGTGACAGGTGATAGTAGCAGATGGTGGTGACAGGTGATAGTGCAGATAGTGGTGGCAGGTGATAGTGGCAGATGGTGGTGGCAGGTTATAGTGGCAGATGGTGGTGACAGGTGATAGTAGCAGATGGTGGTGGCAGGTGATAGTAGCAGATGGTGGTGGCAGGTGATAGTGGCAGATGGTGGTGGCAGGTGATAATAGCAGATAGTAGTGACAGGTGATAGTGGCAGATGGTGGTGGCAGGTGATAGTGGCAGATGTGGTGGCAGGTTATAGTGGCAGATGGTGGTGGCAGTGATAGTAGCAGATGGTGGTGGCAGGTGATAGTAGCAGATGGTGGTGGCAGGTGATAGTGGCAGATGGTGGTGGCAGGTGATAGTGGCAGATGGTGGTGGCAGGTTATAGTGGCAGATGGTGGTGGCAGGTGTTCCCAACCTCCCAGTGAAAATGAAACATATTTATTAAGGTATTGAAAGAATATAGCTGCTATACCGACTGATTTCTGGAACTGGAAGGAACATAGAAATAAATAAGAAGAAGCTAGAAGTTGCTTATATTTACATATTGTAATATACGGAACTAATTCTTGCGGTGGGAGGCGAGGTCGACGACCTCTTTCCACCACTGCTCACTATTGATATTTGAGCGTCCATGATACAAGTTTCATGTATTATTATTATTATTAAAGATTCGCCGGTATTCTCCCGGCCCGGGCCTATTCCAAGTAGTGGCCCGGCCTTGGCTCCCTGTCTAGGGAGTGTCTGAGACCTAAGTCTCCCATGGTAGGAGGCACAAGTACGCCCTCATCTTTGGGACCAACTGTCCCCAGACATAGCTTCTCGTAGGGAGAAGCTAGGCCTCTCTGGTCTGCCATCCCCGCCCCAAGGGGGTTATTGGGAATGACAGTCTTGTAAACTGCAAGCTCGGGCTCAGGCACCTACCCTACCCTAGAAGGGCTGGGCATGGTGTCGATCCTTTCATGTATCACTACTGTATATTCCAATGTAGTGGATATATTAAACAAATAAAACTTACATGAATATATGTAACTGTTTGGGGCGAGATATTGACCAATAGATCGCAAAGAAATTTTCACTGATAAAGTAATTCTTTCTCAAAATTGGTATCTTTTTTTTTTTTTTTATTTTCCTGAATTTGCAAAATCTCTGTAGCAATTTTCCCCAATATTTATTCGCTCCTTCTGCTGCCCTGCTCATCCCTTCTTCCAGCCTCGTACACTTAGGTCTTGCACTGCCCTACCACTGTCGAATTCACCATGTTCAGACAGCAGTGCATCTTCCACAGTACCATACACATCGTATTTACCTTGTTGCTATTTGATAAGTTTCAGTCCCAGACGAAACGTCGCAATATGTGTTTCAGTGCAAACATAGTATCTCTCTCACTATCTGTCGCCTTACGTCATCGTTCATTAAGACGGGATCCCACCCGGGTTACTTTATAGTCGACATTATGAAGCTGGAAGCATTACCTAAAGGACTTTGTGAACAGCAAAGTGTTATGATGGGTCTTTATTAAGTGGCTTAAAGATAACAGCGTCACGATATGACCTTATGAGTTAACTAAGGTGATGCCAACCATCAGGTGAGTCTTTCTGGCACAAAGTCAGCGACAAATATTTGTGAATGAGATGACAAGAAGATGAGTACCACCCTCCCCTCCCCACTCAGAGGGTTGACCGTATACTCATACTCGTATGAATACATATGTTGGAGTATTCATTCTGCATTTTACACTTGACAACCGCACACGTCGACGGGAAATGTTTGATTAAGGTGGAATGTAGTCTTTTCCTATTTTTTACAAGCAATGATGAAGTGAGAGCGTTGATCTCTCAGGTATGAGAGGATCCTTGTGCTGGTTCTGGGTCCAAACTAAGCTTTGGTTACGAACCGCGGCTCTGTAGTTCTTCAAAGCATCCTATAGTGCCACATATCATATTTTTTATTGCTCACCTATAATAGAACGCAGGTGAGACACACGCAGCCACTGGCACTATCGCGAACATTAGTTAATTACAATATTACACAGATATTTCATTAGAGCTAAAAATGCATGAATTAAGTTACGCAAGCGAGGTACATCATTTATAAAATTAGTATTACACGAGGACAGATAACAGATAAAACGCCGTATGAAGGTGTGAGAACGACGTCTGAGGTGAGGCAGTCATGACCAAGGTTACATGAACAACGTGTGAGGTGAGGCACTCATAACCAAGGTTACATGAACGACGTGTGAGGTGAGGCAGTCATGACCAAGGTTACATGAACGACGTGTGAGGTGAGGCAGTCATGACCAAGGCTGCATGAACGACTTGTGAGACGAGTCAGTCATGACAAAAGTTACATGAACGACATATGTGGCTAGGCAGTCATGACCAAGGCTGCACGGACGACGTGTGAGGCGAGTCAATAATGGCAGTGGTTGCCTCACTGGTAAAATATTTAGAGAGAATGGAATTGTATTAAGGCGTGTGAGTGTCAACATCCTTAGCAAGTTATGTGAAGGTCTCACCTAGAGTGCATGATTAAATATAATTGTACTTCTAGTGTATGGTCATGTAAAAATGCATGCCGAAAGAAAAGTCTTTGAAGGAGACTCACGATGGCATGGTCGAGTGCACAAAGAGAGCAAAAGGTAGCTGCTTGAGAGATGAATGGTGCAAGTTGGTGAGACCGTGTGACTTACGGTGTTACTTACATGGCGCCTCGGTACCCTGTACCTCCCTGATTTACACCTGAAGAGGTTTACATTCTTAAATCTTAAAATAAACCCAGAGTTGTTACTTTTCACGCACCCTCCGTTAACGCAGATCCGGATGCCAAAGGACTAAATTTTTATAGTATTGCTGGCGTCAGCATGAAACCTGTCCTGCAGATCTATTCCACGTTTCATTATTGCCGCCACCAAAGACGCGTATAGCTCTCCACTATCGCTTTAAAATATTGCCTAGTTTTTCTCCATCACAGATGACAATCCCAAAATTTCACCCGACTGTATATTTAATTTGCATCTGAGAGAGACAGTATACCTACCATACTTCTGTAGGCTCGTCCGTGTACATATGTTGGTGTTATTTCGTCCGTGCACCTACCATGCTGGTACAGATTCACCCGTGTACTTGCCACGCTAGTGTAGGCACGTCCGTGTGGTTTCCATGTTGGTGTAAGCGTGTCCGTGTACTTACCATGCATGTGTTGGCTCGTCTGTGTACTTACAAGCTGGTGTAGTGTTATCCTTATACTTAATATGAATGTGTAGGCTCGACCATGTACTTACCATGCACCTGCCTGCAACACATATGCGCTTAGAGTCGAGGACACCGCAGGGAGTTCCATCAATCACAGTCTGGTTGAGAGTCGCATAGAAACTAAGGCCCACAGCGCGGCAGTTGAGGGCGCAGGAGTCAGGCGCTGTGGGGAGGAATGAGAGTAGTATGAGTAGGTTGACTGGAATGATAGTAGTATAAACAGGAGTAAGATATAATGAGTAGGTAGTAAATGACGTGCGAACCGGGTGACTGAGGCGTGAGAGTACAGAGATCTAGAGAGGTGTATAATTAAGGTAAGTGAAAGTAGGAGAGAGAAATGCGTGTTGGTGTGTTATGCTGTGGTCTTTACAAATGTGCGTGAACCCAGTATTTACGAGTGCTTTCGAGGTCAGTTTTATACCTCCCCTCCCCCTTGTTTCATTAAATTTGTTAGCATAATGCAGTTGTTTGGATTTCCTTATAAGTTTGGTGAGCATTGATATATAACGTTTTATGCTCATCGTTTGAGTTTTAATATCAATCTATTTTGTTCGCAGTTGTGGCATGCAAAGAGTACGTAACCTTTATTCGGCGCATGTACACACCCTCATTGACAGGCTATCTCCCCCAACCAGCGAACCAGGGGCTAAGGGTTGACGATGGGGCCCCGTCGCTCAATCAGTACCCAGGTTCCAGCCAATGAGAAGATGGTTTTGGCAATCGCAGAGGTGATGTGGGTACCATTCACCTGTCTGCCCTTGTCACTCCCATTCTAGAGCTGGTTGAAGCCCGGTCTTCTCTCTAGTGGCTTCTATTCTGCCTTGCTTACCGTGGAGTGCACTAATACCTATTGTTGTGCATAGTGTATATAGTGTACATACTTCTGTTCTAAATTGGTGAAGGATAATACAAGTCAAAAAGTTTTTCTGCTGTGTTTATTTTGCTCCCTTTACACCCAGGATAACAGGCCTTTGGGACTCCTGGGTTGTAATAGTAGTTTTTTTTAATCACTGAATCTGGGGATGCTGTTGGTTAGCCATGACCTCTTACTTCTCTTTGCTGTATCATGTTTATTTCTTAATTGTGGAGGCTTTGAATCTTTTTTAATTGTTGAGGCTTTGAATCTTTGTAGAAGTACGTGAGTACTTGATCACTGTTAAAATGTTTATCAGCTAATGTTATTGACTGCTATGGCAAAGTTACTGAAAGATATATTTGTTTAGTTTCAGGTGATAACAGACTGGGAAGTTTGCGGGGCAGCGATCATTGTATTGTCAGTGATAATGTCGGGTTTTACTGGAGCTGTTATATTTGACCAGATGTCGGTTGAGGATACAGTTGTCTCGGTAATTTTTGTTGGTTTGATGGTATCAAAAAAGCGGTTATACATATGGTTTAAGAAGCCAGCTACTTGTGGGTCTTCTGATGGTTAATCTTTATTATGAACCTTCAAAATATATCATTTGCTGCAACCTTATAACAAACAACTATAAATTTATTTTGAAGGTTGTTAATTTTTAATACAAACAAAGCTTATTTCGAAATGAACGTAAAGGAACAAACGTTGTATCGACAGAGTTACACCTTTGTTATATTATCCCACATTGTCGCTTCTAAAAACTGAGCAAAACAGTCACCCACTACGACAGGGGCTATAATTATTGAAAGTTGTTGTCACCAGATAAGCGCTTAAAGAGCTTATTTAGAGATGCGACAACTTTTTGGGAAGAAGCCTGTGCCATGTGCGAAACGTCTCAATAAATGCCCTCCCTGCATATTATGTATCTGTTCTGCAACTGCTCTTCTTTTTTGAAACAATTACAGATTAATAGTGAGTGCTTGAAAGAAAATATTTGTCTAGTTGCAAGATAGACTGAAGGAAGTTGAAATAAGTTCATTTCATTAATAACATATCGACCTTTACTTCAAAAAACTTGCTATTATCACATGCTACTCAAAGCCATATAGTCATTGCACTTCCCGTATTAATGTAAATACTTTTACAATTTTATCGTTTCGTTTCTTCTTCCCTTACCCATAGTCGTGGAGGTATGGTATCCATCAAGTGTACGGTACTTACTGTCGTAGTAAGGCTCCCAGGTGTAGAAACGACGGTTGAAGGGTGTTTTGTTGAAAGATGCACACTGTTCCCTCCTGTAGTCTGAGTACCCGGGGCCACACACCTGCATAACAGTCAACAGTCTTAATGATCCACTTTATACCTGTCGGTATTACCATACCATATGAACATTATATAGTACCCACAATACCTTCACAACATGATTTACAAATAACAGCACCCTCACGTGATATACCACCCACAGCATATATCAGTCTCAGCACTATTACAGTACCTTACAATTCTCATTACACAACATAACAGAACCATCACGGTACTGCTATACACAACACCATGCTACTCTTCAAAACATACTAAACATCGACATAAGAATGCAAACACAAGACACTACACACAACATATGCAGAATAACACTATACACACCACAAAATACTATCCACATCACATTAAACCCCAGCATTAGAACACAAACAACATCCATTCACTATTCATGTGCTTTGACTAGTACATAAACACAAGACATAATATTTACATCTCACGTATTCAAATGAGCATAAGTCGAAGCTGCTATTAGTACTGCTTAGCGACCAAGATAGTATCACTGCTGTGTGGAGGGAGTTGGTGTGTTACAATCGACGGTGCCATAGTGCCATAGACTGTGCCATAATCGGCCAATACCACTGACATTTACTGAGACATGTCAGTCTGGCGACGATGGCACATGTGCTAAACTTACTTAGGGTGTGCCTGGCCACATATCACTGGCGACAAGTGATAGCTCTGCCAGACGATACTGTAATGAGTATCGCCAGACCCACCTTCGCCACACTTAAATACACACTGTGGCTTCTTTATGGTACGAATTATAGCGTAACATAAGCTATAATGTTATGTTTAAGATAAGGTAAGGCCTGGGGTCACATGATCATCGCCAGTACCCATCCCTACGTTCTTCACCACTCCACTACCATTCACAAGACCTCTTTCACCACCACTCCACTACCATCCACGAGACCTCCTTCACCACCACTCCACTACTATTCACAAGACCTCCTTCACCACCACTCCACTACTATTCACAAGACCTCCTTCACCACAACTCCACTACCATCCACGAGACCTTCACCACCACTCCACTACTATTCACAAGACCTCCTTCCCCACAACTCCACTTCCATCCACAAGACCTCCTCACCCACCACCCCTCCACTACCATCCACAAGACCTCTTTCACCACCACCACTCTACTAACATCCACAAGACCTTCACCACCGCTCCACTACCATCCACAAGACCTCCTTCGCCACCACTCCACCACTATCCACAAGACCTTCACCACCACTCCACTACTATCCACAAGACCTCCTTTATCACCACTCCACTACCATCCACAAGACCTCCTTCACCACCACTCCACTACCATCCACAAGACCTCCTTCACCACCACTCCACTACCATCCACAAGACCTCCTTCACCACCACTCCACTACCATCCACAAGGCTTTTCTCACCACCACCACTCTACTAACATCCACAAGACCTTCACCACCACTCCACTACCATCCACAAGACCTCCTTCACACACCACTCGCACTAACCATCCACAAGACCTCCTTCACCACCACTCCACTACCATCCACAAGACCTCACTTCACCACCACTCCACTACCATCCACAAGGCTTCTTTCACCACCACCACTCTAACTAACAACCACCAAGACCTTCACCACCACTCTCCACTACTATCCACAAGACCTCCTTCACCACCACTCCACTACTATCTGCAAGACCTTCACCACTACTCCACTACCATCCACAAGACCTTCACCACTACTCCACTACTATCTGCAAGACCTCCTTCACCACAGCACTACCATCCACAAGACCTTCACCACCACTCCACTACCATCCACAAGACCTCCTTCACCACCACTCCACTACCATCCACAAGACCTCCTACACCACCACTCCACTACCATCCCACAAGACCTCCTTCACCACCACTCCACTACCATCCACAAGGCTTCTTTCACCACCACCACTCTACTAACATCCACAAGACCTTCACCACCACTCCACTACTATCCACAAGACCTCCTTCACCACCACTCCACTACTATCTGCAAGACCTTCACCACTACTCCACTACCATCCACAAGACCTTCACCACTACTCCACTACTATCTGCAAGACCTCCTTCACCACAGCACTACCATCCACAAGACCTCCTTCACCACTACTCCACTACCATCCACAAGACCTTCACCACTACTCCACTACCATCCACAAGACCTCCTTCACCACTACTCCACTACCATCCACAAGACCTCCTTCACCACTACTCCACTACCATCCACAAGACCTCCTTCACCACAACACTACCATCCACAAGATCACCTTCACTACGACGCCTTAGCTATTCACGCAACCTCCATTTCCACGACCACACTATAGTCATCCACCGCTCATTCTCTGCCACCACCAACACCAGAACCACTGCACAGCTGTTAACCCTACTACCACCACCAGTGCTACCACAGTCATTCCACACCTCCCCCCTCCCCCCCCCCCCAAAAAAAAAAAAAAAACTGCCCTCACAGTCATTTTACACCTATCTCCCTACAATGACCACCTGTACAGTCACTCCACAAGCATCAGCCCACAGTACCTGAGTGTTACACAGTTGGAAGCGCTTGTAGAGTCCTACACAACGGCTGCCACCAGTCTCTCTCGACGCCCGCCGTCTGCTTCTGCTTCTCAGACTCCCCTGCCTGCAATCACACAGCTGAGATCAGAAGCTGTGTATTTGTTAGTTACCAAATGTCAAAGGCACTTGTCGATAGACACTTGGTCTATTGTTTGTGGTGGGTGAATGTGTGTGTGTGAGAGAGAGAGATTTCGTGTAAGTTAAATTTGGGTGAACGTATAGGGGGCAGCTGCGGGTTTATTTTTTTCTGGAGAGGGGAAAATAGAAGTTTACAGAAAGAAGGAAGCTATATAGAAGGGAGGCTGTAGGAAAGGTAGGTTGTGGGAAAGGGAGACTGAGAGAAAAAGCAGGCTGTGGAGGAGAGATGCTGTGGGGAAGGGTGTGTGTATGTGAGGTAAGTTTTGGGAGGGAGGTTGTGTAACAGGAGTTATAGTTGAATGCAGTGCGAATGGTCCCTCCATTTTCTTCATTTAAAATCTTAGTTTGTACAATGTACTAATTTGCAAACCAAAAAAAAATCAAGATAAAAAATCAAAGCAGAAAAGTATGATGTAGGTTTTACTTATTTTATAAGTTATCCACCATAATTCACTGTGTCATGAACATCTATAATTCCCGTGCTTTATTGTTGCAATATCAGAAAATTCTGAGCAGACTGACTGGACAGATTCTCCTAGTGCCACATGTAAGAGGAAAGCTTCTGTATTAGAGAAGCTGCATGATAAAATCCGCTATAATATAAAGTTTGTAATAGGGACGTTAGCAGTAATCTTAAGCTGTTAGTTCCGGGTTTGCTCATATTTATTAAAATGATTTTTCAACAGAGCTAAAATATTAGTAAAAAACAACTCATGGTGACTTACCCTAATCTGTCTTTGGCTTTATTTGTCTCTGTTTACGAAGATATGTACTCAGATGTCCTATTTAATTGTTACTGTTTATTTATTCTTCAGGACAACATAGGCAACCATTCGGTTCACATGAAATATACGCATTGACCACATAACATACACCAAGACAGAATGAACACCTTATTAAGACAACGTTTTAATGGTGACCAAAACAGTTTTAAATTTACAGAGTGTACACGGGAAATCTGGAAGAATATAGGTTGAGTGAGGACTGTGGGAGAGGTGCAGGTGAGTGAGAACTGTGGGAGAGGTGCAGGTGAGTGAGAACTGTGGGAGAGGTGCAGGTGAGTGAGAACTGTGGGAGAGGTGCAGGTGAGTGAGAACTGTGGGAGAGGTGCAGGTGAGTGAGAACTGTGGGAGAGGTGCAGGTGAGTGAGAACTGTGGGAGAGGTGCAGGTGAGTGAGAACTGTGGGAGAGGTGCAGGTGAGTGAGAACTGTGGGAGAGGTGCAGGTGAGTGAGAACTGTGGGAGAGGTGTAGGTGAGTGAGAACTGTGGGAGAGGTGCAGGTGAGTGAGAACTGTGGGAGAGGTGCAGGTGAGTGAGAACTGTGGGAAAGGTGTAGGTGAGTGAGAACTGTGGGAGAGGTGTAGGTGAGTGAGAACTGAGAGAGGTGCAGGCGAGTGAGAACTGGGAGAGGTGTAGGTGAGTGAGAACTGTGAGAGAGGTGCAGGTGAGTGAGAACTGTGGGACAGGTGCAGGTGAGTAAGAACTGTGGGAGAGAGTGTACACGGGAAATCTGGAAGAATATAGGTTGAGTGAGGACTGTGGGAGAGGTGCAGGTGAGTGAGAACTGTGGGAGAGGTGCAGGTGAGTGAGAACTGTGGGAGAGGTGCAGGTGAGTGAGAACTGTGGGAGAGGTGCAGGTGAGTGAGAACTGTGGGAGAGGTGCAGGTGAGTGAGAACTGTGGGAGAGGTGTAGGTGAGTGAGAACTGTGGGAAAGGTGCAGGTGAGTGAGAACTGTGGGAGAGGTGCAGGTGAGTGAGAACTGTGGGAGAGGTGCAGGTGAGTGAGAACTGTGGGAGAGGTGTAGGTGAGTGAGAACTGTGGGAAAGGTGTAGGTGAGTGAGAACTGTGGGAGAGGTGTAGGTGAGTGAGAACTGAGAGAGGTGCAGGTGAGTGAGAACTGGGAGAGGTGTAGGTGAGTGAGAACTGTGAGAGAGGTGCAGGTGAGTGAGAACTGTGGGAGAGGTGCAGGTGAGTAAGAACTGTGGGAGAGGTGTAGGTGAGTGAGAACTGTGGGAGAGGTGCAGGTGAGTGAGAACTGTGGGAGAGATGTAGGTGAGTGAGAACTGTGGGAAAGGTGCAGGTGAGTGAGAACTGTGGGAGAGGTGCAGGTGAGTGAGAACTGTGGGAGAGGTACAGGTGAGTGAGAACTGTGGGAGAGGTGCAGGTGAGTGAGAACTGTGGGAAAGGTGCAGGTGAGTGAGAACTGTGGGAGAGGTGCAGGTGAGTGAGAACTGTGGGAAAGGTGCAGGTGAGCGAGAACTGTGGGAGAGGTGCAGGTGAGTGAGAACTGTGGGAGAGGTGCAGGTGAGTGAGAACTGTGGGAGAGGTGCAGGTGAGTGAGAACTGTGGGAGAGGTGTAAGTGAGTGAGAACTGTGGGAGAGGTGTAGGTGAGTGAGAACTGTGGGAGAGGTGTAGGTGAGTGAGAACTGTGGGAGAGGTGTAGGTGAGTGAGAACTGTGGGAGAGGTGTAGGTGAGTGAGAACTGTGGGAGAGGTGTAGGTGAGTGAGAACTGTGAGAGAGGTGTAGGTGAGTGAGAGAGGTACAGGTGAGTGAGAGAGGTACAGGTGAGTGAGAGAGGTACAGGTGAGTGAGAGAGGTACAGGTGAGTGAGAGAGGTACAGGTGAGTGAGAGAGGTACAGGTGAGTGAGAGAGGTACAGATGAGTGAGAGAGGTACAGGTGAGTGAGAGAGGTACAGGTGAGTGAGAGAGGTACAGGTGAGTGAGAGAGGTACAGGTGAGTGAGAGAGGTACAGGTGAGTGAGAGAGGTACAGGTGAGTGAGAGAGGTACAGGTGAGTGAGAGAGGTACAGGTGAGTGAGAGAGGTACAGGTGAGTGAGAGAGGTACAGGTGAGTGAGAGAGGTACAGGTGAGTGAGAGAGGTACAGGTGAGTGAGAGAGGTACAGGTGAGTGAGAGAGGTACAGGTGAGTGAGAGAGGTACAGGTGAGTGAGAGAGGTACAGGTGAGTGAGAGAGGTACAGGTGAGTGAGAGAGGTACAGGTGAGTGAGAGAGGTACAGGTGAGTGAGAGAGGTACAGGTGATCTGAGCACATGAACAACACTGTAAAAATAAAATATTTTTAGAGTTAGTAAGTTTTCAAGATTAATAATTTTCTCCTCAAATACAGGACATTTATATGATATTAAAATTAGGTAGTGTTACCTGCCCTTTTAGATAGAAATATAGATTGTTATTAAAGTTTATATTTTTATTTTGTCTTACTTTTAAAGTTGTTCTACTCTATTTCTCTCGATATTATTGCCAAGTCTGATAAATCTAAAAATTTAGTTAACGTTCAAAAGATTCGGCTGGTAACTTGTGTCACCTCGCTAGATAATTTACTTTATCATGCAACGGTGAAAGAGCATTGCACAGTGAGGAAATTATTTCAAAGACTTACAGACACCTATTGTATTATCATCATCATTTGGAGAAAACAAGGAAGAAGTGTTTCAACACTGCGAGAACACCTTTATCATACCTCTCTATACATTCGAGAGAATGTATGTCCGCATATATTCTCTTGAATGTATGCGGACATACTTGCATGCAGGTAGCCTTAAGAGCGCGAAAAAGTTGAAAAATAATATTTCCTCTTTAATACTTAAGCTTATAAATATGAGCTTTTGCGGTCTCTTGACTTTTTTCGTACATTTACGTGTGAAAATTTTAGATCCCTTCCAACTATCACTGACACTTTATACAATTTGACTATTATTATTAATTATTCTTAATTATTATTGGTAAGTGCTTAACCCTTAAGGGTCACACATATGACTTGGTGAATAGGAGGTAATCAAGTGTGATCAGAGGATAGTGAGGGGTGGCTCCAGTTTCTGAGATCACCAGCCCCTCACCAGTGCACTTTTCTTTCCCCTTTTCTGTCCTTTAGTTGACATGTATTTGTATTTTTATAATGCGAACATAAAACTTACTGCATTTAATATTTCTAGTTGATATGAGAAGTTGAGTAACATGTACTTTGGGCCGAGGTTTTTGAGTTTACCGATAGTTTATTGGGTGAAATTTCCAATATTAAGTGGATAACCAACTTAGCCAAACTTAACCCAACTTAACCGAACCCAGAAATTAAGGTTTACATTAGGTTGGATAACATTAGGTTGCCGAAATAGCTCTTATTTGCACAAAATATAACTAGTACCATTGCATATTCCACTTCATAATGGATAATTTTAATAATAACTTAGCCAAGAGATTTATGTAGGTCTTCTTGTTGGTCTCTTAATTAAGCACTCGTGTGAATTTCCTCGGACCTTAATGTCATCGACATGTATACGAGTGTTGTTGGTCACGTTTATATTATTTAATAATCTTGTTTTGCTCTCCATACTTATCAAATCTTCTTAATTTCATGTTAAGAGTCGTTATATACTCATTCTTGTGTCTTCAGTATCAAATATGTCAATTGTGATTTTATATTTGCAGAATACCGGTATCAAGTAACCTGCTGTATATAATTCAGGTCATCTATGAGTAAGGTCCAACCAACATTAAATTGATTCACGGGGTCACAAAAAAAAATAATTTGAATATGCCCATCAGTGGTAGAGGAAGTTTCCGACCGGAAAACGCAATTCCCCCTCTTGTCATCATGTATGATTGCTTCATATTTCCCTGGTTTTGTATGATCCTTGTGGGTTTGGCGCTTGCCTAAGAATATAAAAAAGTGTGGGCCTACGGGTGCCGTGCTTCAGTTCTGAACCTACAAATGACTGGTGTAGATCTTTTCTAACCCTTTGAACTCTTGCCATACTTGTTATTAAATCAACGCTTGCTTATCTCTGCTGCTTCCCTGGTTAGTTCCTTCTGCTTTGCAGCTGCTTCTCTGAATACAGTATGTAGGCAGCAATACAACTTATTAACGCAGCAGTACAGGAAGAATCAATAGTAGGAGGCTGGAACATAGGTCAACACAGCGGGTCAAAAGAGCAGTAGGGAGCACCACGGATCACAGCACCAGACAATAATACGGCAGGTCAGCACAGCAGTAGGCAGCAATACAGTAGGTCAACACAGTAGGAGACAGCAACACAGTAGGTCAACACAGCAGGAGGCAGCAACACAGAAAGTCAACACAGCAGGAGGCAGCAACACAGTAGGTCAACACAGTAGGTCGACACAGCAGGAGGCAAAATACTAGCCAATACTTCACACACGTCCCATTATCTACTTCCTCTGCCCCACCCTCACACCCGCCAATCAGCGGCCATTCATTCCCCCATTAATGGGGTATGAGCAGGGGGAATACTACAATGGCGTCCCGGGTTCCTCACCTCACAAAGGCAGGGAGGGAGGCGCCTCCTGAGGGAGCTGATGGAGCACGACTGCAGAAAGATGACAAGATGAATAAGGTCTAGGCAGAGATAAGATGGAACAGAACTGGAGAAGGATGACAAGAAGAAGCAATACCAGCTAAAGATAAGATGGAGAAGAACTGGGGAAAGATGACAAGAGGAATCAAAGAGAACTATGGCTGACCTCAGAAAAGTCCTGGCCACTTCCTATTCAGAAAAATCGTGATACACTACTGCATGCTGTTAATTTATTCAGGTATACCGGTGCATGTATCACTGATGCTGAAGGTAGGTAAAAACATGTAGTACACCGAACCGACCAGACCAGCAACATTCTTCGAGCCTTGACACGAGTTCGCTGTCCGAGGGACATGTTCCAACAGTGAATACTTCATAGTACAGCTGCGGTCTGTGTATCTCTTGGCTTGTGCTGTCACGCTAGGCTGGCTGTCCTCGTTGAGATGGGTATCGCTTTCTTACTTGGTATGTGTCGTTTTCTGGTCGTCTGTCGTCGCCAGGACTGAATGCCGTCGTCGCCAGGGTTGGGTCTCATTGTTGAAGGGGCAGAATTGTTTGCAACGACAGTCCTTAATGTTGTCGTCGCCAGGCTGGGTTCCCTCGTCGCTAGTGTGTCGTAATCGCCAAGCTGGGTGTTGTCGTCGTAAGGGCTGGGTGTCATTATAAGTAACGTGCGTGTTGTCCAGTGGTGTAAATAACTGTTAGAGGTCACGGGAGGTCGTGTGGGTTAAGAAACTACTGAGCCTCACAGGTCAAGCACACATAATTACAGACCTTACCATTTATGCTCCTGCTGCAGTCAAAGCCATTATTGTCTCCATATCGTTTGTCACTTGACATTAGTTTATGTGAAAGTTGGACTGTTTATCGTGAAGATGGCTGCCCCATCCTAGAAGAGGAACGTCGTCTCCAAAGACAACATTACACACACATCACATACATATGTGCGCGCATATATATATATAATATATATATATATATATATATATATATATATATATATATATATATATATATATATATATATATATATATATATATATATATGTATGTATATATATATATATGTACTGTATATATGCATGCAATAAGATCACAGTAAACAGGTGATATCAAAATATGCAAAACAACCACTGTGAACGAATAGCGAAATTCCAAGCGCTTTCGTGACTTCTCACATTATCAAGGAACTATGTGAGAAGTCACGAAAGCGCTTTGAATTTCACTATTCTTTCAGAGTGGTTGTTTTGCATATACACACGCGCACACACATGATATATATATAATATAAGTGTGTGTGTGTGTGTGTGTGTGTGTGTGTGTGTGTGTGTGTGTGTGTGTGTGTGTGTGTGTGTGTGTGTGTGTGTGTGTGTGTGTGTGTGGTAAGCTGTTAAAAAAATTTCATGGATTGCAGGAATTCTTGGAGCAAAGGTTTGGAAGCTCGCTGCTCTACCGACTATGCTATGGAAACATAATAAAGGCTAAAATCCGTCAGTTTTAATTATTCTGCCTGAAGAAGCCATTCGTAGAAAATGTTTCCTCTCATAATTTATCTGAATTGCACATAAGTGTCTTTATCAGTACAATGATTTTCTCTTATAAAAGGCGGCGTTTTTGTGTGTAATCAGAATTTCACTCTACTCGATTTTGTGGCTGAAATGTTTCGTATTGGAAGTGGGCAGAATTTTTTTTACCGTATCTTACAGCACATTTATGTCAGACTAACCGTCTTTCTCTTGCTTCTGATATAGTTTTGAGCTCTGTGCTTAACCATGAAGGATACAAGGACACCACACAAGGAAAGACTTTGAAAACTCCCCTGAAGTAATCTCAAACATCATTCCATATAGTTGGGCAGCTTTACCGTCTTCAAATATTTATTTCCAAGCTGTTGCCAATGACATTATTATTATTATTATTATTATTATTATTATTATTATTATTATTATTGAGGAGTGCTAAACCCGTAGGGGGATGGGGAGATGGAAGGCATTCAGGCTTAATTCAGGGAAGTGGAGCGCAGATCTAATTCCCTAGATCATGAGCCCTTCACCAGCATGAAGGAATCTCCCTTGAGGGCTTGTTGGCAATGACAGTACTCATAGTTTTAGCTTCAATAACCCTACAAGGCAGATTGTTCCACTCATCGGCTACTCTATTTCCAGTCTCGGTTTTTCTGTCTCTCCGTTTATTAATTTGATATTAAGATGGTTTCCTCATCTCAGATCCAGAAGCCATTATATGTCAAGAATATACTAATTGCTTCTCCTGTAGTTAACACTAGACCAACGACTTGGTTATAACTGACAAGGAAAGTAGAAGACTTTAAATTATTAATATCGGAGGGTAAATATCGCAGGATAACCCACGAAAGCTAAGCAGTGTGGCATATTTCCGATTTCATCCTTGGGCTCTCGTCCCTGGGACACGACCCATAACAGCTGACTAAATTTTAGGTACCTATTTAATGTTACTTGAACAGGGACAGTAGATGTAAGGCACTTGCCTATTCTTCTCGTCTCGCTTGGGAATTGAAAAGGAGTGAACTTGGTTGTGAGCCGGACGCTCTACCCAGTACTGTCACAAATTCAGGCACACACACACACTTTGCTGACTTCACACACTACCATTTCTCGTATATTTTCCTTCTGAATTTCTTTTCCTAAGTGTTGTTGTAACATTACATATTTGGTACCTGTTAACCGGGTTATATGAAAGGTTTAAGTAATTTTATTCTCGGACGTAAGATTATCATCTTTACACAGAAGTACAAGATACGGAGCACAAGTATACACGTTCCGGGCTAGCAATATAACGGCTATATGGAGGACAGGTCAGTTGGGGTACACGCTATGTCAGCTATAGTACATGGGCAAGAGGAGTAGAATTAACAGTGAAACGTGTAGTATATATACATATAGTGGACCCAGTATATAAAGAACTGACCGCGGGAGAGATAATCCCCGTAACTATAAACAGTGTTGGATATAATTGCAGACACTATGGCCATGTAGGGAAGAGGGTAACTCACCTGGGTTCCATAAGACACTCCCGGGACTGTATGGAGACACCACCACCACAGGAGCGAGAACAGGGAGTCCAGGCAGACCACTCGCCCCACCTACCACCCCGAGACCCAGCCTGCAGCTGCAGCCGCTCCACCACCATGCGATGGACCTGCAAGGAAATCAAAACTATAGTCATCAGGGGTGTAACACCAGGCTCCAGAGATACAATATCAGTCATGAGGGGTGTAACATTAATACCACAGTGTAAACCCAATCATCAAGGGTGTCTCACGAAATCGTAATGACACGATTGCGTCTTCTATCCCCGCCTGTGGTATGGTTTATCAAGGGTTTTACAAAGTAGTTTTCAAAAACATGCAGTGATTAGATTCACATGAAGCTTCGCTCCTCCACCGCTAGAAAAGAAACGCTAAATAAAGTGTAATAAACCATATTTTATTCAGCATTAAAAGTAACTAGCAGCATGAAAAAAATTATGTGATAGTGAACAGCTTAATTTACCTAAGAATTTTCAAAGCTTTAGATAATTTTATATTACACTTTTTCTGTGAATTATGGAAACTCAACAACAGAGGTCTGTGAAGTAGTCAAGACTCTACACGTAATCAAAACCTACATTAGAGGTCTGTGAAGTAGTCAAGTAAGATTTACAGAATGAACATTATGAAATTTTAACGTAGGAAAATCCAAACAGGTCAAACACTGTTTTATTTTTGATCGCAAGAGACGTTCTCTAGATATTTCACACAAACAAATTCGGTTAATAAAAATTACACAACATAAAATTAAGGTAAAGCTTCCACTGAGGAAAATACATCAGCATTAAAAGTTTAAACCGACCAGAAAAGGCCGCCTCCACTTGCCTCGCACAATCCAACACAACCTGCACCTACACAGCCCAAAGCTAAGAAATTTTCGATCCACTTCATAAGAAGAATAAGCCATTAAAGATTAATGCTGTTCACAATTGCTGTATTTTAATCACACAGTGCCTATGGAATGTGATGTATTCAAATTCGATTACAGCAATGGCAGGATAAGTTCAATTCCTTGGATCAAGAGTCCCTAACCATTTCGTGATTACAAGTGGCAAAATATTATCTACACACTCCATTAACAATGTTAACCTTCTAAGGAAGATTCATGAGTGTTAAAATTCTAAAGCCCATCGGAAGATTATATCAGTTATCATACGGAAAAAATCTTGGAATGGCCTGTGTAACGCATATATTCATTCACATATGTAAATAGTCCTGTGAATCTTGCCCTAGATACTATTTCAGATATTATCAATACTCTGGTATTAAGATTTTAAATGCCGGGGTAATAAAAATACTTAAAATGTGATTACGATTAAAAGAGGATCTTTAAAGCAATCTGGGGTCTGGTTGTGTGGTTAAAGTATTGCGTTTTTTGATGCAGTGTGTGCAGGTTCGAATCCTGCTGTGGGAAGAAATAATGTTTGTAAATAATTTCGCCCGTTTGCGAATTGTTAAACATATAAACCTACTACTATCATTTATGCATTTTGTTAATGGTGGTGTTTATAAGTAAACACAAATTTATTTAGGATAGCCAAACGTAATTTAACACACTGTAGTTAGGCACTCAGAGGACAACTAGATCACAGCAGCTATGGCACAGCAGATCTTCAACAGGAGCTAGATCACAGCAGCTATGGTATAGCAGATCTTCAACAGGAGCTAGATCACTACAGCTATGGTACAGCAGATCTTCAACAGGAGCTAGATCACAACAGCTATGGTACAGCAGATCATCAACGGGAGCTAGATCATAGCAGCTATGATACAGCAGATCATCAACGGGAGCTAGATCATAGCAGCTATGATACAGCAGATCATCAACAGGAGCTAGATCACAGCAGCTATGGTACAGCAGATCATCAACAGGAGCTAGATCACAGCAACAAGTTCACAGCATATACACTAATTACAAGAACTGGTAGGTTTACTGGTGAAGAAACCTTGATAGGAACCCCCATCCGCCTCTCTTTCCCATGTTTAATTAATTTGTTATTTACTACAGTGTACAGTACTTTTTTTTGCCAAGATAGCTAAAATGTTATTTCTAACTAAACCAGAGAACAGTGTCAGTTCTGTGCATTATTTATCACTAAATTTCTCTCTTGACTCGCCACCTGGCTTTAATGCTTACATTAATCCTGACTGGCCAACGAGCATGGAGCCTCCACCACTTACGCTGAATGACCCCACATGCGTTTAACGCTTCATAAAATACAATACTGTCCGGGAATTCTGATGCTGCAAAAAAATACTAGATGTTCTGACAAGGAGCACAGGAGAAAAAAAAATCGGAAGAGGAGCTAGTAAGAACCTAATAAATCTCTGTAAATTAGCGGGTATAGGAAATTTCAATCAAAATACTAACAAACTGACATTTTTTTCATCAAAACAGTTATTGCGTGAGGTTTCAAGTTGTTGCCTCTACATTTGTCATTAGAGTTATATTCACCCGAACATCTAGATTAATTTAAATTCTAAAATAGTTTCACAAAAATATTATGTATATATATATATATATATATATATATATATATATATATATATATATTATATATATATATATATATATTTTATATATATATAAAAATTTATATTTTATTATTTTTTTTATTATCACACTGGCCGATTCCCACCAAGGCAGGGTGGCCCGAAAAAGAAAAACTTTCACCATCATTCACTCCATCACTGTCTTGCCAGAAGGGTGCTTACACTACAGTTTTTAAACTGCAACATTTACACCCCTCCTTCAGAGTGCAGGCACTGTACTTCCCATCTCCAGGACTCAAGTCCGGCCTGCCGGTTTCCCTGAACCCCTTCATAAATGTTACTTTGCTCACACTCCAACAGCACGTCAAGTATTAAAAACCATTTGTCTCCATTCACTCCTATCAAACACGCTCACGCATGCCTGCTGGAAGTCCAAGCCCCTCGCACACAAAACCTCCTTTACCCCCTCCCTCCAACCTTTCCTAGGCCGACCCCTACCCCGCCTTCCTTCCACTACAGACGGATACACTCTTGAAGTCATTCTGTTTCGCTCCATTCTCTCTACATGTCCGAACCACCTCAACAACCCTTCCTCAGCCCTCTGGACAACAGTTTTGGTAATCCCGCACCTCCTCCTAACTTCCAAACTACGAATTCTTTGCATTATATTCACACCACACATTGCCCTCAGACATGACATCTCCACTGCCACCAGCCTTCTCCTCGCTGCAACATTCATCACCCATGCTTCACACCCATATAAGAGCGTTGGTAAAACTATACTCTCATACATTCCCCTCTTTGCCTCCAAGGACAAAGTTCTTTGTCTCCACTCACCCTTTTCCCCTCATCAATTCTATGATTCACTTCATCTATCATAGACCCATCCGCTGACACGGATATATATATATATATATATATATATATATATATATATATATATATATATATATATATATATATATATATATATATATATATATATATATATATATACAGAATGTAGGATTGCGGATGAGCAGGGAGGCTTCAGAGTGGGTAGGGATGTGTAGATCAAGTGTTTACATTTAAGCATATATGTGAACAGTATTTAGATAAAGGTAGGGAAGTTTTTATTGCATTTATGGATTTAGAAAGGCATATGATAGAGTGCATGGAGGAGCAATGTGGCAGATGTTGCAAGTATATGGAATAGGTGGTAAGTTATTAAATGCTGTAAAGAGCTTTTATGAGGATAGTGAGGCTCAGGTTAGGGTGTGTAGAAGAGAGGGAGATTACTTCCCGGTAAAAGTAGGTCTTAGACAGGGATGTGTAATGTCACCATGGTTGTTTAATATATTTATAGATGGGGTTGTAAAAGAAGTAAATGCTAGGGTGTTCGGAGAGAGGGTGGGATTAAATTATGGGGAATCAAATTCAAAATGGGAATTGACACAGTTACTTTTTCCCGATGATACTGTGCTTATGGGAGATTCTAAAGAAAAATTGCAAAGGTTAGTGGATGAGTTTGAGAATGTGTGTAAAGGTAGAAAGTTGAAAGTGAACATAGAAAAGAGTAAGGTGATGAGGGTATCAAATGATTTAGATAAAGAAAAATTGGATATCAAATTGGGGGAGGAGGGTATGGAAGAAGTGAATGTTTTCAGATACTTGGGAGTTGACGTGTCGGCGGATGGATTTATGAAGGATGAGATTAATCATAGAATTGATGAGGGAAAAAAGGTGAGTGGTGCATTGAGGTATATGTGGAGTCAAAAAACGTTAAATGGAGGCAAAGAAGGGAATGTATGAAAATATAGTAGTACCAACACTCTTATATGGATGTGAAGCTTGGGTGGTAAATGCAGCAGCGAGGAGACAGTTGGAGGCAGTGGAGATGTCCTGTCTAAGGGCAATGTGTGGTGTAAATATTATGCAGAAAATTCGGAGTGTGGAAATTAGGAGAAAGTGTGGAGTTAATGAAAGTATTAGTGAGAGGGCAGAAGAGGGGTTGTTGAGGTGGTTTGGTCATTTAGAGAGAACGGATCAAAGTAGAATGACATGGAAAGCATATAAATCTATAGGGGAAGGAAGGAGGGGTAGGGGTCGTCCTCGAAAGGGTTGGAAAGAGGGAGTAAAGGAGGTTTTGTGGGCGAGGGGCTTGGACTTCCAGCAAGCGTGCATGAGTGTGTTAGATAGGAGTGAATGGAGACGAATGATACTTGGGACCTGACGATCTGTTGGAGTGTGAGCAGGATAATATTTAGTGAATGGATTCAGGGAAACCGGTTATTTTCATATAGTCGGACTTGAGTCCTGGAAATGGGAATTTACAATGCCTGCACTTTAAAGGGGGGGTTTGGGATATTGGCAGTTGGAGGGATATGTTGTGTATCTTTATGCGTATATGCTTCTAAACTGTTGTTTTCTGAGCACCTCTGCAAAAGCAGTGATAATGTGTGAGTGTGGTGAAAGTGTTGAATGATGATGAAATTTATTTTTTTTTTTGGGGATTTTCTTTCTTTTTTGGGTCACCCTGCCTCGGTGGGAGACGGCCAAACCTGTTGAAAATATATATATATATTATATATATATATATATATATATTATATTATATAATATATATATATATATATAT